GGGGCATCACTCTTCTCTCAATACCGGGAAAAGTCTTCAACAGGGTATTGTTAAACAGGATGAAGGACTGCGTAGACGCCCAACTTCGTGACCAACAGGCAGGATTCCGTAAGGATAGATCGTGTACAGACCAAATCGCAACTCTACGGATCATTGTGGAACAATCAATTGAATGGAATTCATCACTCTACATCAACTTCATTGACTACGAAAAGGCATTTGATAGCGTGGACAGAACAACACTATGGAAACTTCTTCGACACTACGGCGTGCCTCAGAAGATAGTCAATATCATACAGAACTCATATGATGGATTACACTGCAAAATCGTGCATGGAGGACAGTTGACAAAGTCGTTCGAAGTGAAGACCGGTGTCAGGCAAGGTTGCTTACTCTCACCCTTTCTCTTTCTCCTGGTGATCGACTGGATCATGAAGACGTCAACGTCTGAAGGGAAGCACGGGATACAATGGACATCTAGGATGCAGTTGGATGATCTAGACTTCGCAGACGATCTGGCCCTTCTATCCCAAACGCAACAACAGATGCAGGAGAAGACGACCAGTGTGGCAGCAGCCTCAGCAGCAGTAGGTCTCAATATACACAAAGGGAAAAGCAGGATTCTCCGATACAACACAGCATGCACCAATCCAATCACAATTGACGGAGAAGATTTGGAAGATGTAAAAACCTTTACATGTTTGGGCAGCATCATTGATGAACAGGGTGGATCTGATGCAGATGTGAAGGCGCGGATCGGCAAAGCAAGAGCAGCATATTTACAACTGAAGAACATCTGGAACTCAAAGCAACTGTCAACCAACACCAAGGTCAGGATTTTCAATACAAATGTCAAGACAGTTCTACTGTATGGGGCAGAAACCTGGAGAACTACGAAAGCCATCATCCAGAAAATACAGGTGTTTATTAACAGTTGTCTACGCAAAATACTTCAGATCCATTGGCCGGACACTATTAGCAACAACGTACTGTGGGAGAGAACAAACCAGATCCCAGTGGAGGAAGAAATCAGGAAGAAGCGCTGGAAGTGGATAGGACACACATTGAGGAAAGCACCCAACTGCGTCACAAGACAAGCCCTCACATGGAATCCTGAAGGCCAAAGGAAAAGAGGAAGACCAAAGAACACATTACGCCGAGAAATGGAGATAGACATGAGAAAAATGAACAAGAATTGGATGGAACTAGAAAAGAAGGCCCAGGACAGAGTGGGTTGGAGAATGCTGGTCAGCGGCCTATGCTCCATTGGGAGTAACAGGCGTAAGTAAGTAAGTATGTAATGTCTCTAAGGCAGTTAGGACATTGAAACACCTATACTTGAGGGCATGATGATATAACGGCTAGTATGTTAAATAATATAAGTGGCCATATGTTGTAGTGACATGTATATCCAATGAATTTTTGTAACAACAAAATAAAGACCACAATTTTTTTTTATTTGTGACATTTTATGCGTAATAAAATTTATACTCAATATCTATTGTTTCTCTGTATAGTGGTAAAAATCGGATACGATTGATTGACTGTGCTAATACAAGACATTTTGTGGGGCCCTTTACTTTGTCGTCATTTAGATCGGATGATGTATGTTGACGGGCTCTTCACTTTAGTGGCCCAAGTTCTGACCCCAAGGAGATCGCATGAATGATCGTTGTCGAAATATATATGTCGCCTATCCTCGTATATAATCATCGACTTTAATCGCGTTAATCAATAACGGAATTAAATAAGTCAAATAACGAGAATGGACTTTTGAATACATATATTTTGTGTATAAAGTGAGTGGAATAGAAAGAAGAGAAACGACACGTAGTGGAGATGGCGGATAAGCCAACACCCATTTAACCAAGCATTAATCAATATTTATAGTTACACAAAAGAAAGTTACAGACATGTGATGAGTAATGGGATAAGAAATGTACACACACCTACTCGCTCATATAAAAACAATCAAGATTGATAAGCGAATAAATAACAAGGTCAAAATGTGACTCAAGTACATTGAATAGATTGGGCTGTCCGTAAGCTAGAATAAGGTATATGGGCTCAACATAATAACCGACACTACAGACACATTACCGCGATCATTATAAATGAGAGCTATCTTTCGTCTGTTATTCCAATTTATTGGCCACGGCTTGTGATTGAGAATTATATTATTGTTAGATCGTTCTACACGAAGTTGGAGTTTTGGCCCGGTTTATTATCAAATAATACTATCGGTTATGTTTTTCTCATAACGCCAATGGTGTCACTGCATGCAGAGAAACCTTTGTTAATTAATTGAAGTCATTTGCAGTTGTTATCCCAGAAGCAGCTTACAAGTAACGTTTATTTCATAACAAGTGTAACCATTTTGTTACTTAATATACCGTTTCTCTGTAAGTGTCATTTGTTACTGTTCTGTTTGACTCGTAAAAAAACACTTGGGTTTGTAGGGTTAATCTTTTTTTTGTATATCATCGGTAACTGGGCGTATCGTTATATCTTGAATAAACGTTTTACTGGGATCTACTACAGTGTCTCCTACTTCATACATTAAATGCTTGTTATACCAATATCTAGAAAAATACACTCATTATCGCCTAGACACAGACTGGACCAGCAACAGATGTTGAAAATTATCTACTCATCAGCATAGAGTCAGTAGTATTTAGAATAATAGCATGAGCTGCAAATAGCAATTACAACATAAATGTTATTTAGGGATGGTAGATAATAGATTTTGGACTACACCAGTGTACTCCACCACAACACTAGATTTGAAATGTCAGGTAAAAACATCGACTATCTATCTATTTATTCAGACTGACTATCTCATTTATGATCTGTCAAGAATAAAAAGTGTGGAATAGTAAGGAACTATCTAACAAAAAACGTCTGTGTAGGTAAATTTCCTCGTCACTAACATACAGCTCATTCGGATGAATGAGACAGGGATAAATGTGCGTTTCGAATTAAAACCATGAAGAGACTTTATATAACGAAAGAATCTTGAAGTATTTAAATGTTCCTAAACTGTTGTTATGAAATTCACTCATTTTTAATGAATTTGGATGTATTTGTGATAATCAACGTTTGATCATGTGATCTCTTTTGGTCAAACCGAGGCCAGAATTTCCTGTTTGTTTGCTCGCAATGACCAGAACACGAAAAACATTGATGAAACAGAGCTCTTGGTGAAACAATATTCTTGTACATTTCAACCCTCACCTCTAAGCCATATCAGCGAATGCTTCAATGTAGCTCAAGTGAATTCTTGAACGTGAATCTAAGCCGTGAAATGGTATATCATCAACTGCAGCATCTAAACAGGGATATACCTCCTGATCTAGACTTGGTTCACTGTCATGACGAGGGAGGCGGATTCAATATTTACAAAATCCTCACATTCCGTAAAGAGGGGCGTCGTCGCAGAAAATTAGAAGCTGATACACATCACACCATTTTCCAAAGAAGGTGGATGCAATAAACTTTCATGCTATCAGGAAGTAGTATTTCTTTATATGCACTCAAAGGTTATGGAGTGACTAATTTATGGAGGCTCATGGAAATGTCTAGCGTCTATTGACTTATTCTCACTTCAATGGCGCATTTTCAGAAATTGCCATTCCTGCACAACGAACCTGTTGACTGTAATAGCTAGCTGGATCACGATCCTTGACCGTAAGTGTAGGGTAGGGATAATGATTCACACTTGCCTAGTCAATAAGCCTAACCTAGTAGGCATGCCAAAACCGATAATTTTCTCGAGTCGGGGTACATAATTTACTTTCATGGGCCACGTAGAACCACAATTAGGTCTTACAGGGTTCAGTACGAAAACCCCCACTCTCTATAACCCTCAGAAATGACTTTCTTTTGTAAGTATCCCATGAGATAATAATTATTTTGACAAACTTAGGCTTTGAAGGAGAGTTTGCAACCTCGATGATAAACTAGCACATCATGGGGATCTGAATTGAATCCAAACTTTTGTGGATAACAATGGATCTGTTTCATGGCTTCAAAGTGAAAGAGAATCTACCTAAGACATAACCAATGTAATTTATCTAGAACTGTCACCAATTGTTGAAGATCTAGGTACCTTCGCTACTGATAATGTAAAGTCTTACACTGACTACGACAAAAATATATTTAGGGTAAAGCTCGCAATCGTACTTTTTGAGTGGTTTTGATAGTAAAAATCTTCATTTAATTTTTTTGGATCTCATTGAGGGTATCGATACAAATATTTTCATCCTTCAATCTCAAGCGATAAGATTACTCTGGAAAGTATCCGAACGTGAGTCACAAGATCAACTTGAGGACTCAGTTTCAGGCTTGTAGTGAACCCAGTTAACAACTGGATCACAACCTACAGAAGTATAGGAGATCCGGAGGAGTCATCTCTATGATCTGCTGTTTCATAAACACCTAATTATTCTCTTAAATACCTATTAAATCTCCAACATCTTTGAGTGAAGAACCCAAAGATCAGAAATGTAACATCGTAAGCGGAACTATAAACATACATGTGGCTTCCAAGAAGTGCTTCTTGAGAAAACATATTCTTAAGGGTTTAGGATAATATATGTACCAAATAACCAATATTTTTATACCGTTTCCTTTACGCGTATGGATTCTTGTCTGAAGACATTCACTAACTCCAGGCACGGAAGCTTATCAATAGACAGTCTTTCTTATTTCTTCAACTGCCACTTTGAACAAGCTAAATATTATTATTCAGTAATTTGGAAGGTAATTTTAGACAAATGCGAAAACACTGATCAATAAGCAAACAACTTACCAGTAAAAAAGCCTCAAAGTCAAACTTCTAAAAATGTCTGTTGTTATTTTACCAGTATATTGTTTTAATCCATCACACGAAATCTTGCTTGTGTGACCTGTAAATCCCGCAAGTCTCAATATGTGGACAGCTGAGTCTGGAGTTGTACAGTTAGCGCGTAAATAAACAATCTCGTCAGTTTACCGTAATAATGTCGTCTAAGGCAAACGTAATCTTGGAGACTTTGATTGTAGGTTTCTATTCAACATTTTCTCAGTGTTCAGATTGCTTTAATCTATTTCAGTGTAGTAGACTGTGACACATGTCCAGCAGACAGCTTTGTAAACTCCTTAGCAGCTGACCAGTTTAGTTGTGCAAAGAAGTGGTTGCCAGTCAAGCAGCTTCATTGGACGAAGAAGAAAAGAATACTGGTAATCCATCTTTTCACTTGTAAACTGCTGTTTTTTCGAGTTTTCCAATGTTTGTCTGGCAGAGCTTCACTTTGTCCCGCGTTTTCAGACAGTATCCGAGGCTATAAAATAATAAAGCTGCGGATAATCGCTAGCAACTATTCTGTCTACATCTCATCGGTCAACCAAGTTGTATCTCCAATTACCTTATAAGAAAGAATCTTACATAACTATGCTTTAGACATCTATTTGATTTTGTTTATAGACGGAAATAAAATATCGCGTGTATCACGTATTATGCCGACAGGTTTTGGGGGATAAGATTCTTACTTCCCCATAAGGTTTATGTTTAATTTTATATAATTTCACCTACCTGTTTTACCCATGTATGTATATATACATATTAAGATATCTACAAATAACAAAAGGAGTTTGTCGACATATTGTGTGCTGAGAAATCCATATTGCACAAAGCAATTGTTATTGCTACCATCATGATTACTATTACGTTTTATTAACATTATTTGCATAATATTACTATTTAACTCACCCAGTAACTCGTCTCTGTTAAAAGTTCTGTCCAATAAGAGAGGTTTCGATTCACCAAATGGTTGATTTTTTAATTCCATCACTGAGTAGAAAACCAATACAGGTTTCCTGAATCTATACATTTAACCTACCTCTCCAATATATACATTTCTATGTAAGTAGAATCACAGGTAGGTCCGGGTTTGTCTTTGTAAAGTTTTGATATTGGCTTGTGCTACATGTCTGTGACTAGTACTCAAGACTGCTATAAAGTAACATAGATTTCTTCTCCATCTGTTAGTCAGAAAACATGTTTCACATGCTCATATCGGAAGATATTGTGACACTGGAATCCGATTTGGTTGAGGTCAGTATCGAATTAATCACCAGAGTTGATGCAGAACTAGTCGGGTGCATCTCTTCTGATAGTTATCTACATTTTCACAATATTACTTCGTTTTTGGGTAATTTTTTTGTGTGGTAATGTTGATGTACTTTAAATAAATGGGTAAACAAACGATTGTACAAACTCTAATTTCTATGGCCTAAATTTATATTAATCACTGTGGGCCCAACTCAAAACAATCTAAAAAACGAGGTTAAACAAAGAATATTCGTTTGGTTTTTTTGACGTTTCTTTGTCCTGAGGACTGAATCAAGTATACCATTATTTCTTACACTAGTGTAACATTCTTCATTTATCAATGGTCCTGAAAAATATTCTTGAAATAAAATAGGAAATGATAAATTATGATCACAATGTCAGTCATTTATTTTTAATCATGGTGCTGATGACTATTCGAACGCTCGAGAAATATGATGCTCTCCAATGGGCTGTGATACTACCTGGGTGCCCGAACCGAAGCAGGTTTGGGTCTTAATAAATCCACAACAGACAAACATAAAATTCTCAGTTTCGATAAAGTTACATTTTCAGGTTAAATGGTTTAACTATAGGGCTTTCAGTTTATTTTTCGACAGATTTTAGATAAAATTGAGTTATTCAGTTTTCTTTATATATGACTCACAACTTGTTCTGTTTATCTCAAATATGATTGATTAACTTCTATCAGTTATTTTTTCTCTTATTAGGTAACCGGTGGTGCCGGTTTTGTTGGCTCTCATTTAGTTGATAAATTAATGCAAGATGGTCATGAGGTTATAGCTCTTGACAATTTTTTCACAGGAAAACGGCATAATATCGAACATTGGATTGGACATAGTAATTTTGAACTTTTACATCATGATGTTACCAATCCTATATATGTGGAAGGTGATTATATTATCTATGCTTATGTTTACAGTTGTTGCCTAATAATTTAAAACAATATTCTAACGGTATTTGTACCAGTTCAAAAGAATTATGTATTCAGAAAGACACCCAATCTGAAGAGATGATGAGATTCTGTTGAGATCATATAGATTATTAAAAACACGAAGTTCAGCGAAGGGATCTCTTTTCAACGAATTTATTATCAAGCTGTACGATCGTACATATATGAAAATTTTGTTTTCCTAAAAGTACTAATTCCGTGAGGAAATGTGAACACAAATAACTAAGATGACGTAATGGGAAGATTATAATACTAGATTGCGTAATACGAATAATAACAATAGATTTAGTCAATAATTAAAGGTCATAGGGGTGTAAAAATAAATAAGGTGATATGATGGGTATTTATGAATAAAATAATGAGAATATAAGGCATAAATATAGACCATCGAATCAACAGAATTCAACTCAAATTCACACTTATATGTGTAGTTTTAACTACAAACTTATATTAGCTGAATGGTCAGTGGTAATCTGTAAGGTGGTCTGGCCAAACGTTTAGAGCACCTGTTTACTTACTTACTTACTTATGCCTGTTACTCCTTGTGAAGGAGCATAGTCTGCTCACCAGTATTCTCCATCCAACCCTGTCCAAAGCAATCCTTTCCAGCTCCTTCCAGTTGTTATTCATCCTTTTCATATCTGCTTCTATTTCCCAACATAATGTGTTCTTTGACCTTCCTCTTTTCCGCTTCACTTCAGGATTTCATGTTAGGGCTTGATTAGTGATGCCGTCTGATGATTTCCGTAATGTAAATCCTATCCATTTCCATCATCTTTTCCTAATTTATTGTTCAGGCGGAAGTTGGTTTGTTCTCTATCAGAGAAGGCTGTATCTAATGGTATGCGGTCAATGGATGTTGAGTATCTTGCGTAGACAACCTCTTTACTTATGGAATAAATATTACAATGAACCTTCCTAGTTTACATTTGTTTAAATTGAATGATTATGAACACTAATTGCGTCTATTCATGAGCTATTATAAAAGACTTAGAAATTATTGCAATCATAAATATTAACGAACTTAAACCAAAAAACTTTATTTATTGACTTGAATGTTCTCATTATCTGTCATTCTAGGAAAATAAGTGGCGAATACATTTCAATTCATGCATTTCAGATAGGATAGATTGAAGAAATAGCTGTACCATATGAACTAGCAAAAAGCCTTTGCAATTGGAAATGAGTGGTAGATGCTGGTTATGGACAAACTTCATAAGATATATTTTTGAATAATTACAATTCGGACATATGTTAAGCAAATATTTGTCGCGATATTACATATATGGTCTTATTAACATGTTATTGCAACAAAACCCAATACATGAATGATACTACTACGAAATTCAACATTACCTATAATTCTTATTACTGACATTTACCATATTTTTACTACCGACTAAATTCTGTTGAGAAGTCATGATCAGTGGAGTTTAACCATGTTCGATGTGGTCTTGAGTGCTGTTAGAGGTATGAGGGTGGTTATCACTTCCCGGTTGCCCACACTGTGGAAGAGTTCTTCCGGAGGTACCTGAAAAGGAAATTGGATTAAAGGTGGTCTTAGTGACCTGAGAGCGTGACCGCAGTCCCCAAGGGACAACTGCTTGAGGTCGATCACACACGACCTTTTTATGGGTAATTTTTGCGTTAGCTCCGTACTTGTTGGGGCCTTACCGCCGAAGACGGATATCCATGGGATAAGGCGAGGTGTACATTTTTAGGGTCGACCTTTTCTAACCCCACCCCTCCTTGTGGGAAGGTAGCATCGCTGTCATGCTAGTTGTGTGAAGGAAACACCTTACTGCTGTCACGCCTCTGTACAGTCAGCAGTACGACTTCGCCTTCGGACCTTAGGTTTGGTTGGAAGAGCCATGTTGCTACCAACAGACTACTCGGTTGGGGTCCGCGTGACTATCGTAACCAATGGCTGCAAACTCTTGGTGACATGGCTCAGAATCGATCGGAATGGCGTCGGTGTATACACTCTCTCTGTTCCCTTAAACTATGAGATTAAAATCGCTTCATATCTTTCTTTCTACGAACTAATTCTTTCTTCCTGTACTATATCCTTATATGCAATCTTTCTTTTATATATAACCACCTCTGAATTAACTACTTTTATGAATCCGGTGTCCATCTTGTTGTGTTAATGAGGTATGGCAATTTGGAATGATGCATATGTGTGCCTGGTCCTACGTTGTAGCTGACTGACTGTTGGATGTGAGACATATATTACCAGTGGAAATGGATGATGGACATAAGATTCGCGAACTCATTGGAATTGGGAATGCAACCTATTATGTCCCAACCCTATGGTCTGAAGTTTAGGTTCTTCTCACGAACTTTAAAAGTTATGAGTTGTAGATATTCATGGATGAGATGTATCATACTGGGATGAAACATCTATCAGGTGATTCACAATTATTTAAGGTTCTCTAACTCAAATAGGTTTGCGATGCAAAACTACAAACTCAACATCATGCTCAACTCACCTCTTCTATATTAACGTATTATTTATCAAACTTATTTTTATCTCAGGTACAAACCCATTTACGGTCATTGTTATATATTACTGAAAAGTTCCCGCAAACTAAGACTAGACAGCTTTACATTTACATAAAATTATTTTTAACTAATCATCGAGTTAATAAACTAACTTTCATAATTAATTAAATAAAATTGTTAACAATGTCATATTGATAAAATTTATGTATCAATCCCTTTTTAGTGGATGAAATTTACCATTTAGCTTCACCAGCGTCACCTCAACATTATATGCATAATCCTATACGTACTATTAAAGCAAACACATTGGGTACTTTAAATATGTTAGGTAAGTTAAACAATTGATAATTAAACGTGTATTTTTATATCATTTCTTATTACTGTAATTAATGTATTTCCATTTAAGTTTTTGGTTTTGATGGAGTTTTGTTCTCCAGTTCCCAAATTCTGACAATAGATTTAGTTGGGATTTTATCTGTATGTTTCCGTGTGGGTGGATTGGGGTGACCATCTACACGTTAATAGGGAAGTTAATCAAACTAATAAATCACTTCTTTGTGAAATATATTAAACCCCTCACGATTGTATTTAAAGCACCTAGTTTTTTTTGCTACAATGGTTTTTAAACACTCAACTGATTGATGTTTAAGCGAAACTACAACGTCTAGCTGTTAGTAATACGATATTAAAATCAGTAAATCCGTAAAAGATGCCGGTATATTCAATGGTGGTAACAATCGACAACTAGTAGCAATCCACAAATTTGAAATCAAGAACGAATGGTAACTGAAAATGTTGGTTCACTAACTTGATAAATCTTAACCAGGACATGATGCATTTCTTGGATTCAAATGTTGAAAATTTTCCAAACTATAATCACTTTTTAAGTGTAGGAAAAATCGATGCTTACTTACGCCTGTTACTCCTCGTCGAGGGGCATAGGCCGCCTGCAAGCACTCTCCATCCAACCCTGTCCAAAGCAATCCTTTCCAGCTCCTTCCAGTTGTTATTCATCTTTTTAATATTTGCTTCTATTTCCCGACATAATGTGTTCTTTGACCTTCCTCTTTTCCGCCTCACTTCAGGACTTCATGTTAGGGCTTGATTAGTGATGCCGTCTGATGATTTCCGTAATGTAAATCCTATCCATTTCCATCATCTTTTCCTAATTTCCTGTTCAGGCGGAAGTTGGTTTGTTCTCTCTCAGAGAAGGCTGTTGCTGATGGTATCCAGCCAATGGATGTTGAGTATCTTGCATAGACAATTGTTTATAAATACTCGTACCTTCTTGATGATGATTGTTGTAGTTCTCCAAGTTTCAATGCTTATATGCTTATATATTTTAATTGAATACAGTCCTTAATATATCAAAAGCAGGAGAGCACAACATGAGTTTAGGTTTCAGTGTAAACATCCATACTATTATCTAGGTAAGTTTAGTGGATGAAACCGATGTTCGAGGGAAACTCGCGCCTTGGGTTTGATTGCTAGCTAGCTATAATTTAAATTTCCTATTTGAAGAAACAGTTTGTGCATGAATTATGCATCAAATGAAATTATCAAGTCAAACCTCAGTAATACTACTTACATAATACATATATCGCATGAAATTCATTTAATTATTTGTACTTTTGAGATGGTGGAGAAGATTTGTAGGTCACGTGCGTGATTTTGATGGAGTCTTGTTCTCTGAGCTGCACAACCAAACCATCCAGCTCAGAGAATGAAACTCCATCAGTATTTGTACTTTTGTTGTAAACAATAAATTTTCTAAAACTTAAAAAAAACAAAAACAACTCATTATCTCAAGACTAACAAAATGAAAACCATTATAACAACAAACCTATATTTATATTGTTAGGTTTTATAAATGCACGGTTTTATACTTTTCATTTTACCCTTGTTCATTCCTTATCTATATTGTATTCTTTATAGTTTAGATATAATTCAACAGTTTTCTTTTTCCACTGGTTAATTACACGTAAATTGAAGCAGATGTAATGTTAGGTCAAAAGTGTAGATAGTAGGGTTTAATAAATAGTTTTTAAGTTGAAATTCTGTTTCTGTATCAGTGGTTCTGTTCAAGTTTATCTTTATTTTTACACAGGAAATTATATTTGTAGAAATATTTGTAAATTTTTGAGTTGTCCTAAAATATGAACAAAACACTGGCTTACTTATGCCTGTTACTCTTAATGCAGAATAGGCCTCCAACCCACTCTGTCCTCGGCCTTCTTTTATAGTTTTAGCCAATTGTTGTTCATTATTCTCATATCTGAACAAAATAGCTACCCAGTAAATTATGTTTCTTGAATTGATGTTATTTATTTGTGAAAATTAATATGATATTCAACATTAGATACAGTTCTCTGTGGTCAATTTACAAAATTGAACGTTATTAACAGTATTGGAAAGATAGATAAAGGTATCTAGTAGTCAATTAACTTACAGATGATCTGTTATATGACATACGATTCATTGATGATGACTATGTGACTGTGTTATGCATGTCAAGCCCTTTAACTTTAATAAAAGTGAATACTTTGCCATACAACTATAATATAAGGAAAGGTCAATTAGGATAGAGTAAACAACTCGGTTTTTGCACAAAATTTAAAAACGAATAACTTGTATTTTACACCACGTAAAAAGCAAAATAGAAATAGCTTTTTATAATGCTCAGATTGACATCAGTCCCTGAAGTCACTAACTTCTGGGCTGAGCCATGTTTGGAGATGCAGACTACCTGGTTGGGGTCCGCGTGATTGTCGTAACCAGTGGTTGGAGACTCTGAGTGACGTGACTCGGAATCCATCACAATGGCTTCGGTGTATACACTCTTCGTCTTCCCTTAAGCAGTGGGATTAAAATCGCTTTATATTTCTCTACGAACTAATTCTTTGTGTACTATATCCTTATACACAATCTTTCTTTAATACATTACTACCATTGAAGTGACTACCTCTATGGATTTGGTGTTCATCTTGTTGTGCTAATGAGGTATGGCAACTTGGACTGTTTATTTATTTATTTTAACACATAGATATTGATACAAAGGGGCACCAGATATATATGCGCCACACAACTTGGACTGATGCATATATGTGCCTGGTCCTACATTGTAGTTGACTGACTGAATGTTCAAACTGTTTAAAATTACTAAGAAAAATTTCTTTTTGTTATTGTGGAGTGATTATAAGCATTGAACTTGTGAGATGTTTGGTTGTGCATAGCATGTAGACCAACGGGTTTTCGTTTCGCTTTACTTTGTCTCTAAGAGATCTTTTTATTGATGTTGACTGAATAATAAGTGAAGTAGCGAACTATGAGTGCTAAAATAGATGACGGTTTCTATGCATCACTTCATTTCACTGTCCTGAATATATTCACAATCAAATAAATTAGATTACGTAATCATACTTTTGCAGTATTAAGATCGAAAACAAAATAAGCCTTTAAAAACTAGTAAACTTTCTAAAATCAGTAAACTATGAAAGGTTTCATGGGTGTCCTTACATTATAGTTACACCCATTTTAGAATTATCCTGTAAGTATTGTATCAATCTATTCTAATAACCCTATTATTGATTGGTTGTCCTTATCAATCACTAACATGCTTATTAGGACAAATTGATGTAGCATCTTTTGTGTAATTCTCTAGTGGTCATTTTTATTTGAAGTAAGCATTGATTGTCTTGGTCTAGAAATTCAATGAAAGCTTTATTATTAAGCTGCCTAGTTTGGTGAATGTAACCTTATCAAAGTTCTTACCATTTAAATATTATATCACTGATTTCCTGTAACGTTGTTTTGATTAATTGTTTACTGGTTCTGTAAAAACACTTGATTACATTTATATATTATGTTTTCGCTTTATTAGACTGGTAAAGATAAAATTTTTGTTTGAATATGACATATACTATTTTAGCAGCAAGTGCTTTGGGACATAAACTCATTCGAGATCCCTTACTACAAACCTTTCATACTAATATAAACTACGTACTTACAACGAGAATTTCAGAAGTTCTGTTGAGAAACGTTAACCAGTACAGTTTATCTGTGTATAGCATGAGACAAGCACAGTTGATAGACCTGAATGATAGTCGCGAAATATTGCAAATTGACTGAAGTTGGACATATAGATGATTGGGTGGAAACTCAGTTATCTGAAGGTTAGGCGATCTCCATGAGACTTGTGGGTCCTGGGTCCTACCTGTTGTGCGGTTTCGGGTGCCCACTACTGACGAGTCCCAAATTGGGCAAAATAACCATCGACTAATGCTTGCTGATCCCAATCGTGTTTCCAACTTTAGTCAGTCCTTGATGTGAAACTACAAATAATACGGTCAACACTGTAATCATTCATCACTTACTTCCTATATCATATGATTTAGATATTTCTAATTTCATTGTGAATAATAAAATCAAGCAAGAAATCTTAAACTTATTGCTTTTTGCCTTTCACAGTACGTTTATACTCACTTTATGCACTGAGAATAGAGTATTATTCATCAATTTCATTATTAGACTGATGACCACAGCTTCCATTATTTTTACTGGATGGCTTTTAAAACTTTTTTCTTGTTTAAATCTTACCCATCATTGGTTTTAGCAAGTCCTTTATGATTAGATAATTGTAGGTATTCGACAGGAAACCGGTATACCAAGGTTTCATGCTATTTGGTACTCGTCAGTAACCTCGAAGGAACTGGTGTCCCCTAACGGACGTGATTCAACTTCACCTAAATTCATTGTTTGTAACGAGAAGACTGAGTTATTCGGGCTACGATTGACCTTCTGTAGGACTGTGATGCCATGCTTATTTAGTCTTTTAGTGCTGATTGAATCTTGTCGATTAGCCACATTACAACTTAATGGATAGAATTCTACCAACAGTAAATGACTAGACAAACATAACATTAGTCACTCATCACTAACTAATCAATTGTAAATCTCTTTATTCAGTAAAATTTGTAGTACGATCCGATCAGATTAAATGCAATTTTACTCAACGGTGGATACTACAATTAAGTCCATTCACATTAGATTTGAAATAGTTAAGGTTTCAATTTAAATACTAATCTAGTTATATGCAATTTCTAATGTTTCTTTCTATGTTTCATATTTCTTTTATTGTTCATCTATTAGAGTATACTTACTTACTCCTGTTACTCCTCGTGGAAGAGCATAGGCATATAAGTATAGTATAATGTTGTAAAATAAGTTAACAGATAAAGTTTTTTATACATTGGATTATTGACTTATATATAATAATATCATTGTTTTTGTATTCAAAATGATTTTGTTTTTTTTCTTCCCTCTTTGAAATGGTAGGATTAGCTCGTCGTACAAATGCCAAATTTTTATTCGCTTCTACTTCAGAAATTTACGGCGGTTAGTTTGAAGTAATTTTTATGAAATTGTGAAAGTATTTTTACAATGTTTATTGATCCGATCTAAGTCGTTTACATTGTGGAATATGGGATCTTTCATTCAGAAGACTCTTACAAATTTTTTCCCCAGTAGCATTCATTCGCTAAATACATATGTATCAGGACACTATCCTAAATGAATATCTAAAAGGAAATATAAGTCAGTCAACAGCCCAATCTTTGATCACATGATCAACTCTGATCAAGTGCTTCCGTGAGGATCATTGTTCAGGACTATCTCTACTCACTGCCGTCTCGCGGCATGGGTGTTGTTTACGAAATTGAGAGGACGCAAAGCGAATGTCCGGCGCTTTAACTTGATTGGTGGGTATGGAGGATCCAACTAGGGGATTTGGAAAACCCTGATTCTAAACCAATGGTGCACATTGGCTCCAGGGTCCTGAGGGAACAAAAGGCGTATGAACCAATTATTCGTCAGCGGCTACCATGGAACTGTATCTCCTTACGTTGTTCCACTGCCTTGTGGATCAGACCTTTAGTTCGAAGGCTCTGGGTGTGGCTCCTTAAGAAAACCACCTGCTTCGGTTTAGGTACCCGCGCAGTATTCCAGCCTTCACACAAATTGAATGGTTTATGTGGCGCATATCTGTTTGGTGCCTAATTGTACCAATGTTTATGTGTTTAAATAAATAAAATCAGGACTACCTATAAAACCAAAAGAAGTGGATCAAAGAATATTCGCACATGGCTGACTATACCAATCCATCAAATTTAACCTGATCTCTATGTGTAATAAGGAAATATTCAACCTTTTATTTTACCATGGTCTCAGTACTCCCTTCTGATTGTGCAAATAATTAATGCCAATTATGATCTTTTGCATTTTTCTTTCAATTATTACTTCTTATTCCTCCCAAGACTATTACATAATTTCTGTTCAATACTTGGAAGCCTTTGATTAGTTTATTAAATAAAGCAATACCCTTCTATTTCGTTATAGACTATCACATGTAAATGTCGATATAATTGTACAGCTTAAGTAAAGGATATCACTGAAAAACAAACTCTGAAATATTTTCATTTTGTTGAATCGTCATTGCTTTCAAGCTTATTATGTCGATCGTTTATTTCACTGAATTGAAGGTTGAACTCATCACTTACTCCCTTCTGTTGTTTAAATCAAAACACCTTAATACTTATTTAAGAAGTAAACATGATGATATCTGAATCACACAGTTTATTACCCATTATTTAATATGATCAATGTTGTTTTAAGTGTAATGTCTAACTATTTCTTTTTAAAAAAAACCGTATGCCAATAGAATATGATCAATTTGATAATATAAGGGAATAAAGAAATTTTAATAGTTGTGATCATAAGTCAATTGAAGCTAGATCACCATGGAAAACCTGGAAGCACTGGACGGCCGTTTCGTTCTATTGTGGGACTTCTCAGCAGTTCACATCCACGATCCCGCCTCGCGAGATTCGAACCCACGACCTACCAGTCTCGCACACGTGCGCTTAACCACTAGACCACTGATCCGATCACCATCCAACGGTGTTAATGTCTAACTTCAACTAATCCACGAAATTGAGCGACATATCCACTATTTTCATTAGTGACTTACTATCTCACAACAGACCAGGTTGAACTCCACTGATCACTGCTTCTCACTAGAACTTGAGGAAATACCTCTTGAAACCAGTCTTTAATGAGCATATGTTGATTAGTATCAAAAAACTTTTCATTATATAATACCTTAGTACAACATTAATGCGCAAAGCATCGATCGATTTACATACAGTAAGTGATTGTTTATTTAACTTGTCAATGGTTGTTTTATTATTATTTTTTTAAGAAGATAGTCTACACATATAAATAGTTGTTATGTAACATTAAACAATTAATAGATTATCAATTAGTTTAATTACTTGTTCTATTAGACAATTATTTAGTGTATTTTATAATGAATCAAAGCAGTATTCTAATTAACAGATTAACAATTAATTCAAATAACCCACTCATAGTGTCATTGAATAAGAAAAAGAGAATTCAGCAATCAAAACTTTCTTTTCAATGAAATCATTTCCTTAAACTGTACATTCATATTTATAGTTATATGGAAGATACATAAGTCTATTGCATCATAAATTGATTCGAGATTCTTATTATTAAATGAGGTTACGCAATAATCAAGGGCTAAGAAAAGAATATAAGGATGAAAATAATTTACGGGTCATATAACTGTCCAATTGTCAGACATGAAGAAAAAAACGACAAAAATAACGGTCATAATGATAATTGATTACAGTTCAAAATTAAGAAACACTAATTTAAGAAGTCAATAATAACATACTACTAAAGAGAATTAGGGCTAAGGAAGGATAAGAGGTCGGACGAATCGTTTTTGCACGTAAAGTTCGAGCTTGAGTTCGTGGATTGCCAATACCCTTAGCAGTACATAAAAGATTGATTCGACACCCCTTCTATCTAATTATTTGACTCTGTAGATTATTTTAAAAGAGGAATCCTTTGGAGCGATGTGTCCACAATTGATTAAATGCTCCTGTATAGAATTAGTAATTGTTTTACATTCAACTTTTAAAAGCCAAACCGGATAGTGTTCTGAGATGCGTTCGGAAAGTGATCGCTTTGTGCGACCTATGTAACAACTACTTATTTATAGAAGATGACAAAAATAACTAAAGAAATCCACTGATTCATTAAGAAGAAAAGAAAGATAACTTTTCAGCGATGAAATGTTTCTTTTCAACGATACCATTTTCCTATGATGTACAATTGCATTTATAGGTAATTTCTTTACATATAGTAGTCTATGATAAAATAGAAGAGTGTTATACAATTTTAATAGTTGAGAGAATGAGTCAATTGAATCTCGCGAGGCGGGATCGTGGATGCGCACTGCTGAGGAGTCCCACAATAGGACGAAACGGCCGTCCAGTGCTTCCAGGTTTTTCATGGTGATCTAGCTTCAATTGACTGTTTATCTCAACTATTAAAATTACCATGATCACCACAAAACCCCTTCTGATACTAATTTTGTTATATATCAAGGATGGTCAAACTTACTTAAGTTTCAAATGTAAAAGTCTATGAAGATGAAGTGGTTTTGCATCATTTAATTAAGCAATCAAAGATTTCAAGTAATAAATATGATGGTCTGTAAATAGAAAGGCGGTACTTCAATGTAATTAAAATTATCGTAAGTTTTCAAGTGTTGAATAGAATATGTGTTTAATCGTTTAGCAAAGTAACCAAAAATTTAAAACAATTAGTCCCTTTGATAAATTTCGATAATGACATTAGAAGACGAAGATTATCAGAAGTATGTGATGTATTAGCGCAATACATTTCGAACAATCTGGTCACATATATACTTGTTAAGAGCATTTATATATAAAAATAAAAGGTCAACTAAACAGGAAACCGGGTAAGAGGAGATAAGGATAATAATAATAAGAGTAATAATAATAATAATAATAATAATGTGAACACAATTTGAAACTTGATCACTCTGGATAATGAGTCAATATTGCCAGGGTAGGTTTAAGGTAAGGTCACATCCCACTGTGTTTACCAATTTAAATGTGTGTGTGGTCACACATACATAGGGAGGAGTAATCGTGATCTCAACATTAGGGTGAGTGAACATGTACCCAAATGGCTTCAGAAACAAATACAATCAAGTGACCCAATAAGAGCAGAGGATAAACATCCATCATCCTCTATTGCTAAACATATAATTGAAACAGGTCACGAGATTGATCTAAATTGAGCTTTCGTAGTGTTTTATAAAAGTGTAAAAGGGCGTATACTAAGGTTTATTGAAGCCTTAGCCATACGAAAATTCAAACCCGCTTTGTGTGTTCAAAAACAGTTTGTTCTTACCTTAAACCTACCCTGGCAATATTGACTTATTATCCAGAGTGAATAAGTTTCAAATTGTGTTCACATTATTATTATTATTATTACTCATTATTATTATCCTTATCTCCTCTTACCCCGTTTTCTGTCTAGTTGACCTTTTATTTTCTATATACAAATGTTCTTAACAAGTATATTGTGTGTGATCAGATTGCTCGAAATGTATTGCGCTAATATATCGCATAGTTCTGATAATCTTCGTCTTCCAATATCATTATCGAAATTAACCAAAAATTATCAAGAAATATGGTCATGGAAGCCTATTTTATCATTGAAGAAGAATGATAGGAATTCAGTAGAGAAAATTCTTTCTTCAATCTACGTGCTCATTTGGGGCAGATTATATTTGTTCCACAAAGCGAGCTTTTCGAAATACTTCTTCAAATGTTACCTTACCTGACTTTCTATAGGAATACAAATGTCAGTCAAAAGCTCAATCTTGGAACATCTAGTTAATTCTGGCCATTCCTTTTCACCACAATCCCCTTTCGAAATTATACATACAATCAAAAGAGTCCGCTCAAAAAGAATGCAAATAAAAAACTTATGTATAACAAAGGCTATTATTAACCACTAATTCAAGACTAACGTTTGCTTACAAAAAGAGTATGTCCAATCTCTCATTGTTCCATGGTCTTAACCTTCCTTTGTATCTTCCATAATCTATGGGTTTTTTAAAAAAAGACTTTCTACTCCTTTTCAATTTAAATAATGCTCCATAAAGGGAAACAAATTACATGAGATTTCTAAAGAGTCGCCTCCTTTCCAATTATTTTCACACCTAATAATTAGCCATTATTATAACTTTTAATTATTCTGTCCTTAATAGCTATCAAGTGAAGAATTATCTTCACTTTAGCACTTTTCACTAGCCAATTTTTACATAACATCCTATCTGATTTTCGTAGAAGTTTATGCTGATAATGTTGTTCAGAAGAACGATGAAAGCTCCACGACCAAACCATCCATCTATCTGAGCTACAAATCTTCTCCACTACCACATCAAGTTTTCTTTTTAATAATTATTCAACACTATTCTATTTTACTATAGACTACTATTTTTATAAAGAAAACTCACTATGAAGACGATCATACAGCTTAAGTAAATGAAATAGTAGAAAAGAAAGTTTTCTTCACTAAACTACATTCATGTAATAGTTTTAGAAGTAATAAGAATAAATAATACGATAAATACAAAAGCCTACTGTCTTCTGTATTATCATTTACAATACTAGGAGAGGTGTTAAGACCATGGAGGAATAAGAGAGATTGAACACTACTCTTTTCTTCACAGAGGTCAGGTTTGAAATAATGAATTACTATTAGCTTTGTACAATTTTTTTGCATTTGTAAAATTGAATAAAGAAAGAATAAATGTCTTAGCAGAATAACATGAATTCATTTATTTCGTGAATCTTCGTCAGCTGCTTACAACTGAAAACCATAGAATTACTAATTAAAATGAAAGTGTAAATGCTTTACATTGGAAAAGTCTTGAATTAATTGAGTTAACATGCAGAGATAGAATGTAGTATGGGAATTTTGTTCCAAACCGAAGATAGATACTTAACACTAGTTGAACAAAGCCCAGATATTAGCAATTACAATCATAGTTATAAGAAAAATGATTTCAAGTGTAAGTTTATTCCCCATCCAAACTTTCTTTGATCCAGTTCTTTTAAATTTATAGACGACCTTGAATGACGATTCTCATGACGATATGCAACTAGATTTGGTCGTGTGTTACGGGATTGAACTGTTTCAGCCGAGCACTATCTTGCATAGTTATTTAAAGGGAAAGAAATCCCAGAATATCAAAGTTGGTTTTCTGTACTGATTAGGTAATTTCGTATGGAGCTCCTTGAAAGATCTTACAAACACCCTTAACCGTGGCCTGAACCTTATAAAGTACTCTCGATATTTCAGATAAAGTTTACATCAGGATATTTTTCTTGTAATTAAACTTTCACACCATGTCATATGCACTACATAGTTGTAAAAGAGATATGATTATGCATTTTAAATTTCATACAAACTGGTGCAAGTTATGTATTGTCGGATTTTGATTTTCTCATAAAGTAGTATTATCTTTCATCGTATAAATTACACACTCAATATACTCGCTTATGTAAGCGTATTAGTATTCCACTCTCACTGGTTTTTTTCTTTTTCACAATCAAAGATCCTGAAGTCCACCCTCAAACTGAATCCTATTGGGGTAATGTAATCCAGTTGGTCCAAGAGCTTGTTATGATGAAAGTAAACGACTTGGTGAAACAATGACGTATGCTTATTTTAGACATGTAAGTTTAATTTTTATATGTAATTCTGTACAGTCCAATATGATGAATATCAGTAATTCATCATTATATATGGAGCAATTGTAAGGAGTTAGGCGGTCGAGTATACATTATTTGTAAAGTTTTGTCGCTGTAACTTATTTACTGAGATATAATTTGGTTTTTAAATTCCTATCAAAATTCAAACCATCTTCTGCTGCTCAGCAGGTGTACAGAACAAGCTGTGAAATGCATATGGAGAAATTCGAACACTTCACTTCTATCTGAAGTTTATGCTGATGATGTCGTTCAGAAGAACGATGAAAGCTCCACGACCAAGCAATCCAACTCAGAGAACAAAACTCCATCAGACCATCTCCTTTCTGGCTACCAACTTGATTCATTGTGTACTTAGTTATTTGAAAATATGTTATGTAAGTTCAACTACATCTGGCTGATGTAGAAGCAGGTTGAGAAAATATTGGAGACTGACAAATTAAGTTGTAGCTTGAATCCACGAGGCCATCAACCTATTGCTTTGACCCATATTGGTAGATGTCTGATTGAAATCGGTGCAGTATAAATGATCAATGATTGGAGACGTTGGGTGACCTAGCTCAAAATAAGTCTCAGTGGCACTGATGAATTTATTCTCTATCTTCACCTAAATATTGTGCTTCAATATAATTTCATTTTTTTATTCCCTTCTATAATCATTCACTCTTGAAATCCGATTCTATGTGTTTAAACTTTGTTGCGTGTATGTTAGTCACATCCGAGTTATGCTTCAATCACCATTGAATTCGTACCTTGATGTTGTAACAAATAGACCAAACATTATTGTTCTTGGGTCATGATACATCACTTAATGACTGAAGTATTTCAAATATCTATTCACTGCTTGAGTTTCATAATTGATTTTACAGAGTAAAGAGATGGTGAACGGATATCTGTTGGTTTGAATGTTGTCTTTGTCTTAGTTTTTCTTTAGGCTATAAAATAATTTTCATATCGGTAGTAGGAACTTTCAACTGAGTAACTTATTACGGAGTGGGATTCAATAAAGAAACTTTTAGGTTTTTAAGTTGGGTGAATCCAATACTGATCAGTAAATAAATGCAGCAATGATACGACGTGGTCGGGCTGTGGCTGCTTACCAGAACAAATTATGTACGTAACCTTTTAACTTTACAAATATCAGATGAGGTAGCTGCTCAGCAGAAAATGATTTTTGTGTTATAAGACAACAAGTTTATATACAAAATATTAACAGGGAACTAAACATGGTTTATTGTCGCAGATGATCAGAGGAATTCAATTTTATAGATCGTGCACCCTTCAACCAATATATATATATATATATATATATATATATATATATATATATATAGTTTTTATCTTTAAGATTAAACTGATTTGGTTTAATTAATTCTTTCTCTTTGTATGGTTAAACATTTCTTTCCATCTCAAGTTACCAGTGACAAGGTAGTTATTTTTGATAATATAATTTAAGGATAAGGTTTACCGTAGTAAACATGAATAAATTGGTGATCATACAACATAACTGAGTAGCCAAGTTTAGGCTTGTGGACGTGACTGCAAGTTCCACCTGTTGTTATTCGAATAAACGTATTGCATACATTTTCAAAATCGTGACAGGTAGAGAGGTTTGTTTACTCTTATTGTGGTGTGCGCTGTTTATACGGACAGACATAAATAGTATTTAGCAGCAATTCAAAGTGGAATACTTACTAGCAGAAAGTTGAAATGAAGAGAACAGTAAGGCAAACAAAGAATAATCGAGATAACAACAGGATTGGAAGAATGATGGAGTATGTCAAGGACAACTCCAAGAAGATATATAAATGATGTATTTAATGTATGATTTTCATATTTTACGAAGTCATTGTATGTTTTTGCAGAAAATAATAAATTGGTTTACCATACCTGAGTCTTCATTCACTAAACTATCACACATTCAACTAAATCATTTAATCATAAATTTTGGTAACGGTAAATGAACTAATATTGATTTTAATTTAATAATTGAGATCATGGGTCAATTGAAGCTAGACCACCATAGAAAACCTGGAAGCACTGGACGGTCGTTTTCTCCTATTGTGGGACTCCTCAGCAGTGCTCATCCACGAGGTTAAGCGTTCGCGCGCGCGAGACTGATAGATACTGGGTTCGAATATCTTGACGTGGATAGTGAGATGTACACTGCTGAGGAGTCCCACAATAGGACGAGACGGTCATCAACTATTGAATTAATATTGATAGTATTTTACTAATCTAATTGTTAAACTAACAGACAGTTTATTTGTTATTCAACTGAATTATGTTTGTAATTTTATAACTTTCTATTATCAATATAGCTTAATCTTCCTGTTAGAGTTGCTCGTATATTCAATACATATGGACCAAGAATGCAAGTTAATGATGGTCGAGTGGTAACTAATTTCATTGCACAAGCATTAAACAATGAATCGATTACGGTAATTAATCTATGTATTTATTATATATTACATATTATCACTTGAAAGGTCATTTAATTAAAATCTATGTGGTATTTATTTGTATTTTTTTGTATATGCGTTAGACAGACATGATGACCAGTACACCATAGTAACGACTAAATGTTTATTTGGAATTTCAGGATAACCTTAGAGTTTAAAAAGATCTGGTATATCTGTAAATAAATAATAAACGAAAAATAAGCCTAATGAGTGTGTGTGTGAGTGAGAAAGATAATTAATTTACTGATAACAAATCGATTAGGTAACATGACAAACTAAATAAAGAGTGGAAAGGTAAATGTTATATCTAGATCTTAGATACTTGCTATACCGCGTACAATTTTAGTTTGAGCATTTGAACGTTTGAATCTTACGAATCATAAGTTAGAAGACACGAGACTAGTGAGAAGGAATCTTATTCCATATAGTGTCAAATGTGGTACAGAACACTCCGGTATTTATAGTTTTTAGTAAAAACGAAATTGTCGTTACAGTTATCCAGTCCATGTGTAGTGGTTTTTCACAGTTGTCCAATCGGGAAACTATACGTTGAGACTCTGGAATGTTCTTTCAAACGATGACTGAATAGAATGTCTTCGGCTCTTTCAGAGCTCCCTTGAGTTCACCATAAGCCCCCCCCACAGTAAACTATGTCATAAGTGACATATTGAAAAAGGTACGGTAGGATATTCTTCCTAAATGGACTAAATTTTTATTAAAATTATGTTTTCTAATCTGGTATTTTAGTCGTGAAGCTTTAGTTATCTTTTGAAACAATTCCGCCATCACCACAAACTTCTGATGGAAGTGGGTTCTGGAATCCTTTCTCCAAGGGACTAGCGTCTTGTTCTGTAGACTATGAACCAGATTAATTATTATTAATACTTGTCCTATCATTGTCTTCATATTCATTTACATTACCATACCCTTTACCCTCTGAACAGTGAAAATATGCAGAGAATAAATAAAATTGTGTTGAACTGTTGTACTCCATTCATTAAAAAAACTAGACAAATAAATTAAATCACAAGTGGTGGTTGGAGGCTGTCGACAGGACACCCTGGACATAAGTTTTGTGCTATATGGCACTTGCCAGCAAGGTGAACCTGTAATCACAATATACCCAGAATACTGAACTCCATCCATAATGTACATGTCTAATCATCATCAATTGCCTAATGTAAGTAGCTGTCTCAGATCCAACATGGTTGGACCCCACTGGTCGCGGCACAGTGGTCTAACAGTTCAACGCTCGCGCGCGATATCTAAGATCTTGGTTTCGATTCGCGTATGCGGGATCGTGAATACATACTGCTGAGGAGTCCCATCTTAAGATGAAGTGAATATCCAGTGCTTCCAGGTTTCCAGCGGTAATGTAGCTAATATCTGTTGGTGATTCAAATTATGAAAATTCTACCATCTTCACGAATCTCCGTATGCTACTAATAATCATGTACTCACTAGTCACTAACTTCAAGGTGCATCTCCTATGGCTCTAGTAGGAATCTGTTGCCGGCAGAGCTCAACTATGTTGGATGTGATACACCTATCCACCTCAGGCAATGGATGATGGTTGCGCAATATCGTGAGTTGATTTAAGTTAGACATGTACATTATTGGATCCGCTTTAATATTCTAGATATATTGTGATTTAATAGAGTTATAAATGAGGTAAAACAATTCAATACAATTGTATTTTTGTCTGCATGTTTTTACTGCTGGAAGGTTACAGAGAAATAGTTTTTTTAAGTAGCTTGTTGCATTCACTTCTAGTTTGAGAGGCTTAGAGCCATGGCGGAATACATTTAGCCTACAATAATGGTATTCAGTATTGTTCTCGGAATATCATTTATGAACAGATGCTCAAAAATAAGTTTTCACGTTGTTTTCTCCGTGTTGATTTAAAGGTACAATTAATCACGATATTCAAATGGAACTAATTATCTGATAAATGCATAGCAATTTAAATCAATGCTTCAAGTATATAGAGTAGTGATAAAATTGGATAAGTTTCATAATGGGAAAACTTTTATCGTTAAAATGTTTGCTTTTAAAGTCAATTTAAGAATTTTAGCCAGCATTTTCATATGTGAAATTCAGTAAATCACAGTTCAAATATCGTCCAAGATGAAAATGTCAAATCAGTGCTACAAACAAATTAGTTTTTAATTATAGAACTATTCATAGTTTCAATCATCTCATTGATAATTCGAGATTATCACCACTGATAGTTACATAGAAAAAACACTCTTTTCATGAGGAAACAATTTATATTGGTGTTGTAATAAAAAATCTCAGCATTCTTTTATGTGGTGCCCCTCTTGAAGTTAAATCAGTATTCGTACTTGAACAACTTTTCCTGACCTAGAAAATTTCCGAAATATCATTTCAACTACTTATTAACAGTAACTAGTAATAAAAAAGTAAAATTTTTTTATTGAGATCATGAAACGATTGATGTTAAACCACTATTAAAAACCTGGAAGCACTGGACGGCCGTTTCGTTCTATTGTGGGACTCCTCAGCAGTGCGCATCCATGATCTTGCTCGCGGGGTTCGGGCCTTCAGTCTTGCGCGCGAACGCTTAACCTACTGGACCACTAAGCCGGCCGGCATCCAATGGTGTTAATGTCCAACCTCAACCAATCCACGAAATTGCGCGACCATCTTCCATCATACTGAGGTAGACACCTGTTTCTACCCGACACGGATTAGGTAGGGGGAATATGGATGAAACTTGTATTTCCTGTCAATAATTTGATACTATCAATCTTAACTACATCAAGTGTTCTTATTACCAATGAAATATGTGTATGCTATAAAAGTGCGTTTTATTGCTCTCCTCCTCCATGTAGGTATATGGGTTAGGAGAACAAACTAGATCTTTTCAGTATATCAGCGATCTTGTGAATGGTCTTGTAGCTTTAATGGAATCCAATTATACAATGCCTGTTAATTTGGGAAATCCTGTCGAGTTTACAGTGAATGAATTAGCAATCATGGTCAAGAATTTTACAGGTAAGTCCCTTTAAACTAAGGTTTCTTTTTATTTAGTAACCAATCAAATTTGAAATAGGGAGTTTTCGATTTTGGCGCGAAATCCACTCACTTATACGGTTAAATACCATTTTGGTATCTAGCTGATGCCAGTTCATGATGAAAATTCCAACTTTAATTCCTAACCCTAACTTCCAACTCTAAATTCCGATTCCGATTTCTCACACTAATTTGTGACCTTCTTTAAACCCTAGTAGATTGGTGGGTTTGCTAAATATCACTTTGTCATTGCTCAAAGGTCGTCCATAAATTATGGTTCCAACTTGTTACATTAATTTTATAGCTCACCATAATGGTTTTTCATTTTTCAAATGAAACCCCACATAATCACATCTTTCTACGGTAAATGAAACAGTATGTTTCCAGCCTTGTACATATATCTTTAACACTCTGCAACTATACATCGAGATGGATAAATCCGCCGAAACTAATCTCCAATTTCCTTCCTAATTACCTCTACTACTGAGATAGCTAAGTGAAGTGTCAGGAATTTTCTCAATTATTATGATGCCATGGGAATTATTGAATCCGGTGATTTTACATCATGCTATGATTCCAGTTGGAGGATCGTTGAGAGCTAGCAAGCATTTAACGGCTGTTTCGTCCCAGTATAGGACTCATCAGTGGTGTCTACCTACAACCTCACCACAACTCAGAATTGACTTTTGATAATGAAGCAATTAAAGGTTTGTGGTCTTTGAATGAACTAATGATTCCTTTGTACTTGTTGAATGCTTGATTTCGAATTCTAAATGCAGTACATTCGTTCGTGCTTATCGAGTACTTCTTGATCCAATTGCGTTATTTCTGGGATTCTTAGTTCATACTATAATTCAAATACTCCTAATCATCACAAGGTTTCATTCACAGAGAATATATCAGTTCAAGTTGTTACAGTTCACATAATTACGACGAGATGTCAGTAGGAGTAAACGTCAAAAGTTTTTAAATGTAGGAAGAAATCTAGTAGCTTTAATCAATCAATTGTCTATGCTAATCAGTATCTTATGTTAGAATAAACGATAGCCGATCATATGCTCATTGTATGGTCCGATTACCCTTATTCGTGCAGGTTATCTACTTCATCAATCAACTTATCATCTCTGCTTAGTACTCTAATGTGTGTATGGTGAATCTAACTCATTTTTAAGGTAGAATCTGCAAATGTAATCTAGTGAATATTACTCAATGTGTTCAAGTCATAATTTCTCATTATTCATCAAGTCGCAACGTTATGTTTGAAAAAATAATAATAGCAAATGAATAGGTACTTATATTTGTGATCATTCTCACGAGATTGCTATGAGATTATTTTAGACGTTTGGAATGGTGTAGTACATAAACCAGCAAAATCACTTCAATCAGTTTTATGTAAAGCAACGGATTATATATATGCATAGTTTTAGTCAGTGAAGCTTGCTTTTCTCTCCAGTAAATGGTTTGGGCCTTCATATAGAAAGCTTGCACGTTAGTCTCAGAATTGGCTGCCATGCAAAATAACCATTTGTTTTTTATGTTTTCTAACTAACAGACAGCAAAAGTGATATAATTTATCAACCGTTACCAATTGATGATCCTCAACGAAGACAACCTAATATTAGTACAGCTATAAAACAGTTAAATTGGAAACCGACAGTAACTTTACAAGAAGGATTAAGTAAAACTATAATTTATTTCAAAGATATTTTAAAACCATCATCTGAATGTGACGTGCATTAGATAACTTCAAGGATCAAGATTTACATAATGTTGTTATACTGTACACCATTATGAATGTTGATTTCTTTTCAAATTAAAATTTAGTTTATTATGTATCTTGATGTAAAGTGTCCTTTTTTTTCTTGTATATTAATTGATAAAAATATAAATATTCTGATTGGATGGTATTTGTCTTATGCGCACATATTCTCGATCCACACATTATGTGAAGGTTTAGTGTTAGGGGCGGCCAAAGCAAAACGTGGCATCAGTGCTTGAAGTAACTAACTTCTAGTCTGAGCCATGTTGGGAGATGCAGACTACTTGGTTGGGGTCCGCGTGACTATCGTAACCAATGGTTGGAGACTCTTGGTGACATGACTCAGAATCGATCACAATGGCATCAGTGTATAGACTCTCACTCTCTTCGCTTAAACTATGAGAATAAAATTACTTTACACCTTTCTTTCTACGAACTAATTCTTTCTACCTGTATTATATCCTTATATGAAATCTTCCTTTTATATATTACTACCATTGAAGTAACTACTTCTATGAATTTGTTGTTCATTTTGTTATGCTAATGAGGTGTTGCAACTTGGACCAATGCATATATGTGCCTGATCGTACGTTTTAGCGGACTGACTGACTGAAGGTTTAGTGAAGATGACTTAGTTATCAAGTATGGATGGAACTATTATAGCACATCTACTACAATTAAGTCTGTTTAACGCTAATTTCGTCAAACCCTTCAATTAAAAGACAGTGTTATTCGGACAGTAACAATTTGTCTCTATTTGTATTATTATTATTATCAATATTATTGTCTGTATGAACATGTATGCTTGATCACATGTGACAGCTAACACAGATATCCCTCTCTCTAGCTTAAATGTTAGTTGCTTAAACATCACTTAATGAATTATTCGCTTTCCCATGTATATATGCTTGAATCCTGTTAATTGATTCGACTCTGAGTTCAGGTCTGTGTTCGCTTGCTCGCGCGTATCAGTTTTTCTGCCCAAATTCGCTTGGTGTTCTTGTAGCCATGTGATCTGCGCTATCCAATAATGGACTAGTTTGCGCTTCATGTTGCCTTTTGAACCCATACACCGTTGGAATTTATTTAATAACAGTTATCAAGGTGATTGATATACGAAACCTAAGGAATTATCTCGAAGCCAAGTCGTTACACGTTTAGTTTGAGTGTATCGAGTAACCTGTAGGCGTGATAAAACTTGAAAGAGCTATTGTTCAGTGTTGATTCAAACACTCATGATTCATCTTTTATCAGGTATAAATATCATGAGCTGACTATGGAGTTTTATGGGATAGTATATTTCGCGCTAACTGGCGATACCAACCAGACTAATGGGTCAGGATACCATTCGAACCCGAACAGAAGTCTATAATAATTCAAACTAAAGATAAGCATACGAATAATAATATCCTTGTAGCGGTAAATAAATCCCCAAAATAAATAGCACTAAGTTTTCGACATTGGATGCTGACCATATGTTTTAGTGGACTCATCTAGCTGAAGGCGCTCGGTCAGGCATCCGCACCAGATCACGTGTAGTAACGCCGTGCTCAACATCAACCACAATCGCTAGCCAGATTAGATCAGAGAATCCCGGTATATTGGTCATCGCCAAATATACTCTTCCGATCTCCTCGACTCTGTCTTTTGATTTCTCTTGGTGGGAACGAAACATATTAGAAGGTGTTACTGGTAGAAGCGTTGTCAAACACTGAATACCTGTGACATCATCATTGGTGAGACCGTCGTGATCTGGTACACCTTATTGCAACTGTGAGTCTGTTCCTTTTTGGGATTTTTATATATCATTGCCTTATTTTTTATTTTTTTTAAACATTGTGATTTTTTTTCGTGTTTTTCTTGGATATATATATATATTTTCCCCTCGTTCATTATCGTACTTCATATTTCATCATGACTGAACAGACACCTAAAGTACTCAAGCTTAAGACCTTGTCCCCACCTTCGTTTCAACTGATGCCTTTCTGGCCCGACAACATCGAAGCCTGGTTTTGCTACGCAGAAGCCGACTTTTCCGAGCACGGCGTGATCGACACACGTGCACAATTCCTCGCAGTAGTCAAGGCACTACCGCGCGAATTCAACAGGTACGTAACACCTAGTATGTTTACTAGTGATGTTTCCGATCCTTACGAAATCTTAAAACGCTCGATTCTTAAACGAGGAGACCTAACCGATCGACAAAGGTTAGATCAACTCTTCAACAATATCGACCTGCAACACGGTTCTGCGACGGACATGTTGCAACGGATGAGAGAGGTTATAGGCCCAAGAACTTTCGACGAAGGTCTATTCAAACAACTCTTCTTGTCAAAACTTCCCCAACAGGTGCAAGCAGTTCTGGTCTCGTTCCAGAACAACGCCTTAGACGAACTAGCTGTATCTGCCGACCGCATTCTAGAAATTACGAAACCTTCTACTACCGAGGTATTTTCAGTCAAAGAAAAGCCTCACACGACTCAGAATGACATAACCGACTTATGTCACACACTCACGCGTTATCTTAGTCTTCGTACCGACCGTAAGAGATCGCGCACACCACGTAGAAGCATTTCTCGTAAGCGATCTGTCTCTAGACCACGAGAGACAGATAACCCCGACTGGTGCTGGTATCATAACCAGTATGGAAAGTTTTCCAGAAATTGCAGAAAACCCTGCAATTTTCCCAACACGAAACCGACTGATTCGAAACAATTCGGGAAACTTCCAAGCCGGCACGCGTTAACGGCAACCGTAGCCGGCGAACAAAGCCGTCTGTTATTCGTCACAGATGTGACAACGAGAGTTCGCTACCTCGTCGACACTGGCGCAGAAGTTAGCGTTCTCCCAGCAAATCCTAACGACCGACTTCACGAATCGACCCTAAACTTACAGGCGGCAAACGGAAAACCGATCGCTACGTATGGCAAAAGGTACGTTTACCTTAACGTGGGTTTACGCAAACCCATCCACTGGATTTTCGTCGTTGCAGATGTTTCTATGCCAATCATTGGTATGGACCTTCTACAACACCACAATCTGATCATCGACACTCGCAAACGGAGGCTAGTAGACGGAAACACTAATTTGTCCGTTTGCGTAACTTCTTTTACTGGTTGTAGAGTATCCCCAGTCACAGTTAAACATATGATAGACCCACTCTATCAACCACTACTCGATAAGTACCCTGGGATACAACAAACTCAAACGAAACTACCGTGTGTAACCAGCAATGTTACACATCACATCACGACTACAGGACCACCTGTATTTTCTAAAGCACGACGACTAGCTCCTGAAAAGCTAAGGTTAGCGAAAAACGAATTCGATCACATGATGGACTTAGGAATCATACGACCGTCAAGTAGCCCATATGCATCTCCGTTGCACATGGTCCCTAAAAAGGACAGCAACGATTGGCGTCCAACTGGTGACTATCGGCGATTGAACGCGAAAACCATTCCCGATCGTTACCCGTTGCCTCACATTCACGATTTGACAGCTACCTTGAAAGGTACAACTGTCTTTTCGAAAATCGACTTGGTTAAAGCGTATAACCAAATCCCTATGGCTACTGACGACATACCGAAAACGGCTATCATAACTCCCTTCGGACTCTATGAATTTTTGCGAATGCCTTTCGGTCTAAGGAATGCTGCTCAAACATTCCAAAGATTCATAGACGACGTTTTTCGAGGTCTCAACTTCGTACACGCGTATGTTGACGACTGTCTAATCGCAAGTCCGGACAGAGAAACACATCTCAAGCATCTGGACCTTGTTTTCGAACGATTACAAAAACATGGCATAACTGTAAACGTTCAGAAATGCCAATTTGGAACCGACTCGTTAGACTTTCTGGGACACACTATCGATGCTCAAGGTATCCGACCCCTTAGAACCAAAGTGGCGGCCATTCTGGATTACCCAGAACCGACCACCGTCAAGCAATTACGCACGTTCAACGGCCTGGTAAGTTTCTATAGACGTTTCATACCCAGATGCGCATCACTTATGAAACCTCTGACCGACCAACTTCGTGGAAATGCGAAATCCATTAATTTGGACGACACCGCACGAAAAGCATTCTCCACAGTCAAGGAACTGATTGCTAAAGCAACAATGCTCGCACATCAGGACACCCGAGCACCCATTAGCATCGCAGTAGACGCATCCGACTCAGCAATCGGAGGAGTCTTACAACAATGGGTTAACAACTCCTGGCAACCCTTGGCATTTTTCTCTAGAAGGTTGCTAGACACCGAATCGAGGTACAGCACATTCGGTAGGGAACTCCTAGCTATGTATTGTGCTGTACGGCATTTCCAACACTATATCGAAGGCCGTGAATTCACTCTTTTCACGGACCATAAACCGCTCACTTTCTCGTTAAGCTCTCCTTCTGACAAGTACTCTCCCCGTGAGTCTCGACAACTGGACTACATTTCGCAGTTTACTTCAGATATTCAACACATCTCTGGAGCAAACAATGTAGTTGCAGACGCTTTATCTCGTATAACTTCCTTGAACAGTTTCCAAGGAATCGACCTTCTTAAACTCGCCGAGCTTCAAAAAGAAGACAGTGATCTTCAGCACGAGTTATCGTCCACAACACTTAAACTACGCATCAAACAGATGGGAACAGGTAAGGAAACCTTACTTTGTGACACATCTACAGGTAGGGATCGCCCAATCGTGCCGAAACATTATCGACGCAATGTCTTCAACACATTGCACAAACTTTCTCATCCAGGTGTTCGTGCAACCATCAAGCTTATAGCAGAACGATTTTGCTGGCCTGGCATGAATAAAGACGTGAGGGAGTGGGCACGCTCCTGTGTAAGCTGCCAAAAATCTAAGGTTATCAGACACAATAAATGTCCCTTAGGCTCGTTTAAAACTCCCGATGCTCGTTTCGACCATGTTCATCTGGATTTGGTAGGACCTTTACCAGATTCAAATGGATACTCTTATCTCTTAA